GTGTTCTTGCAGTGGCAAACAGGATTCCTCAAAGGTTGTTGTTGTTGTTGTTGTTGTTGTTGTCTTGTTCCTTCATGTTGTTTCTGACTTACGGCAACCCTAACTATCGAAGGTTTTTTTTTTTTTTTTGCAATATGTGTTCAGAAATTGTTTTGCTTTTGCTTTTCTCCGAGGATGAGATTTACCCAAGGTCACCCACTGGGTTTCCATCGGTGCAAAGATTCTCCTTTATCGCCAATCTTAAAATGCAAATGCTTTTTGAAAAACATTTTGTGCAAACGTAAAACTTGGGAGTTTTGTTCGACAGGACTCTGGTTCTGGTCTTAACAGGATTTAAGCGACTCCCCAAATATTCTGGAATTAAATCTACGGCTGTGCAGAAACTCGAGGGCAAGGCATTTCCTCACTCCCATCAATTTTGCTGCCTTTTATTTCAACTCTGCCTGAGCCTCTTTGGAGATCGGCTTTCTTTCTGCAGCTCAGCTCATTTTCTTAATGTTTACTTTGGAGTTTGGCCGAGCACCATGAGACGCACCACCATGTGCTGTGCAGCCTTGAGTTTTCAAACTTTGTCCTCTTGAGCTGTCTTAAATGTCAGGGAAAGGTTTAGGCTGTTCAACATCCAGCCGAAGCCAAAAAGGATCACAATTTATTAAGCTGGAGGCGAAGAGGAGGGGAGGAAGGGGTGCTGGAGCCAAATCTCCCCAGCCATATTATTTTTTGACAAGGGTGGGAGAGGGGGAAAGACTACCCTATACAAGAACTCCAAGGCCATTAGGTAAAAATAAAGTGAAAGGAGAAAGAGAGAGAGATGCATTTCATCCTATTACATATTTAGGTTCCAGTTGAATTTAAGTATCATTATTGAATAGGTCTGACAGTGGAACCTTATGCATACCTTAGTTCAGGTATGGGCAAACTCAGGCCTGGGGTCCAGATGCGGCCCCTTGGGCCCTTTTCTCAGGCCCTCCTTTCTCTCTATCCTTCCTTCCTTCACTCTTTCCTTTCTCTTTCTCTTTCCCTTCCATCCTTTTGCCCTTCCTTCCTTTTCTCTCTCTTCCCTTCCTTCTTTCCTTCCTTTCCTCCCTTCCTCCTTTCCTTCTCTTTTCTTCCTCCTTCCCTCCCTCTTTCTCCTTTCCTTCCACCTTTTTGCCCTATCTTCCTTCTCTTTCTTTCCCTTCCCTTCCACTCTTTTGTCTTTCTTTCCTTCTCTCTTTCCTTCCTCCTTATCCCCTCCCTTCCACACTTCCATCCTTCCTTCCTTCTTTTCTCACTCACTCCCTCTTTCTCCTTCCTTCCCTTTTCTTTCCTTCCTTCTCTTTTTTATCCTTCCCTTCCTTCCATCCCTTCTCTCCTCCCCTTTCTTCCCTCTCTTTTTCTTTCCTCCTTCCCTCCTCCCTCCCTTTCCCTCCCTTTCTTCTTCTTCCTTCCCTTTTTCTTTCCTTCCTTCCTCTTTCCTCCCTCCTTCTCTCTCCTTTATCCTTCCTTTCCATCCTTCTCTTCCCCTTTCTCCTTCTCTTTTTCCTTCCTTCTTTCTTCCTCTTCCCTTCTACCTTTCATCCTTCCTCCCTTCCCTCCCTTTCTCCCTTTTTCCTCCTCCCTCCCTTTTCTCCTTCCACCTTTCCTCCCTTTCTTCTTCCTCCCTTCTCTCTTCCTTCTTCCTTCCTCTTCCCTCCCTTCCTTCTTCCTTCCTTCTTCCTCCTTCCTTTCTTCCTTCCTTCCTTCCTTCCTCCTCCCTCCCTCCCTCCCTCCCTCCCTCCTCCCTCCCTCCCTCCCTCCCTCCCTCCCATCCAGTACAAAACTTTATTATGATCTCTGACCAGCACAAAGCGAGTCACAAGCGCCCTGGGAGAGGAAACACAGCTTCCATCACTGGAATAGATTAGAGGTTCCAAAACAGGTCCTGCTGTCTTAAGCTTCAACTTCTAAATGTACCAGTCACATTGATCAAGAGTTAGGAATTCTGGGACTTGAAGTTCAAAACATCTGGATAAACCAAAGTTTGGGAAACTAGATCAATGTTTGAGACTAGATCAGTGACTTGAAGGATCTTGAAGGAACTAGATATCCTCAGTGTCCCTTTGTGCTGGGCCACACTTGTTTGTTCTTCATCTTCCTCAGTGTCAAGGTCTCCGATGCCAATGACATGACTTAGAATCATTCCAGTTGTTAGAGAGGTAAGGTTGGTGGTGATGTTTGGGTCGTCCCAACTAGAGTAAACTCATCCAATCAATTATTGAGTAGCGAGTCAATGCATAGTTAAGTGCCATTGATCCATGGGTCTACTATAGTCAAGAGGAACAACAGGTCTTGGGCCAATATTTTGCCCCATTTCTTTTCTTCTACCCTGGTCATCTGTCAGTGCTTTCAGAACAGCTCAGAGTGTCAGGAGGAAAACAAAGCCCTTGTTGTAACATGCAACACAAATAAGCAATTAAGGAAAAGCAACAATTGAAAACAAATGAAGCTCTGAAAGGTGCTTCTGGGCTGATCTCGTCCATCTTGCCAGATAGCTCTCATTTTTCTCTGGGTCCAAGGCAGTACCTGGATCCCCGAGCGACAGGTGTGAGGGACAACTTCCAGATGTGGAAACCTCATCTGTTGCAGCTCCGGCAAACTCCTCCGGCACCTTGAAAGACAAACAGTTGCATTGCCACTTGAGCGCTTACGAGTCCCTGCTCCATCTACTCTGTGATACAGGTTGAAAATCATTGCCCTAATACAAATGTCAGTTGGTCTAGGCCAAAATCAAAGAAGGTGCATCAAATTGATGTGTGCCCATTCATCTGTTGGGACTTGTGGGAGTTGAAGTCCAGGACACTTGAGGGCCGAAGTTTGCCCAGGCCTGCTCTACACAGTGGAATTAATGCAGTTTGGCACCACTTTGACTGCCATGGCTCAGTGCTGGGGAGTCCTGGGAGTTGTACTTTGGTGGGGCACCAGCAGCCTTTGGCGGGAAGGCTGAAGACCTTGTGAAACTACAGCTCCCGTGATTCCATGGCTTTGAGCCACGGCAGTTAGAGATGTTGTCAAGCTACACTCATTCTGTAGCGTTGATACACCCCGAAATGTTTTGGATTTCGAATCTCACCCCCAAATTTTGGAATGTGCATGTTCCTACATAATGAATTCTCAGAGATGGAAACCAAGTCTAATATAAGTACAATATAATAATATTTAATAATTATCTATCTATCTATACACACCCCGGAATGTTTTGGATTTCAAATCCCACTCCCCAGATTTTGGATGTGCATGTTCCTGCAGAATGAATTCTCAGAGATGGGAACCAAGTCTAGTATAATATAAGTACAATATAATAATATTTAATAATTATCTATCTATCTGTCTTATCTATACACACCCTGGAATGTTTTGGATTTCAAATCCCACTCCCCAGATTTTGGATGTGCATGTTGCTACATAATGAATTCACAGACATGGGAACCAAGTCTAATATAATAATATAAGTACAATGTAATAATATTTAATAATTATATCTCTACCTATCTATCCACACCCCGGAATGTTTTGGATTTCAAATCCCACTCCCCAGATTTTGGATGTGCATGTTCTTACATAATGAATTCTCAGACATGGGACCCAAGTCTAATATAATAATATAAGTACAATATAATAATATATAATAATAATATCTCTATCCATCCATCCATCTATACCATTGTTTCTCAGCCTTTCCAATGCTGCGACCCCCTAATACACTTCCTCATGTTGTGGTGACCCCCAAACATAAAATTATTTTACATTGCTACTTCATAACTATCATTTTGTTACTGTTATGAGTCGTCATGTAAATATCTCATACACAGGATGTGTTTTCATTCATTGGACCAAATTTGGCACAAATACCCGATACACCCACATTTGAATACTGGTGGCATTTGATTTTGTCATTTGGGAGTTGAAGTTGCTGGGATTTATAGTTCACCTGCAATCAAAGAGCATTCTGAACTCCACCAACAATGGAATTCAACAAAGCTTGGCACAGTGCTCTTCGGATGTTGGTGAACTACAACTTCCAGACTCAAGGTCAATGCCCACCAAACCCTTCCAGTATTTTCTGTAGGTTGTGGGAATTCTGTGTGCCAAGTTTGGTTCAATTCCATCGTTGGTGGAGTTCAGAATGTTCTTGGATTGTAGGTGAACTATAAATCCCAGCAACCACAACTCCCAAATGCCAAGGTCTATTTTCCCCAAATTCCACCAGTGTTCACATTTGGGCATATTGAGTATTCATGCCAAATTTGGTCCAGATTTATTATGGTTCGAGTCCATAGTATTGGTGAACTACAACTCCCAACCTCAAGGTCAATGCCCACCAAACCCTTCCAGTATTTCCTGTTGGGAGTTCTGTGTGCCGTGTTTGGTTCAGTTTAATCGCTGTTGGAGTTCAGAATGCTCTTTGATTGGAGGTGGACTATAAATCCCAGCACCTACAACTCCCAAATGACAAAATGAATTCCCTCCGCAAACCCCACCAGTATTCAAATTTGGGCATATTGGGTATTTGTGCCAAGTTTGGTCCAGTGAATGAAAACCCATCTTGCATATCAGATATTTACATAACAATTCATAACAGGAGCAAAATGACAGTTATGGAAGTAGCAACAAAAATAATGTTGTGTTGGGGGTCACCACAACAGGAGGAACTGTGTTAAGGAGTCACGGCATTAGGAAGGTTGAGAACACTGGACTATATGGAGCAAGCAAAGTTTGTCTCCAAGGAAATGGCTCAAAAAGAACAACCTCCAGTGTCTTATCAGCCTTTATTTTGGGGTGTGTATCTTCTTCCTACATCCACCCATCCCTGGCCTTAAAAACCTCCAGATAACCATCGCAAGGGCTTTTGCCTGCCACAAGCTGCCCTCTGGTGACCATTTTTTGCAAAAAAACGTGGGATGCATTCTTCAAACACATGTATCTCTCTTTGTGTGTGCGTGCGTGTGTGTCTCACTGGCTCCCTTTTCCATCTCTTGCAGAAATGCTGCGCATGGTTTCTCACTTATCCAGGTGGACAGCATGAAGGTCACCATGAAGGACGTCTTGCAGAAGGCCTTGAAGCGGAGAAAAGGATCCCAGCGCAGCTCAGGTGGGAGCTCTTTTTGCGCTCAAGGAGCATTCAATTGCCTGGCCTTTTTTTAAAGATATCTATTTGCTGCTTGCGCTTGTCATGGAAAATTACTATTTTCAGACATGGGGTCTGCACACTCTTCTCACTATATACAAGCTGGAATATTGTTTACAACAGGCATCGGCAAACTTTGGCCCTCCAGGTGTTTTGGACTTCAACTCCAACCATTCTTAACAGCTGGTAGGCTGTTAGGAAAGGTGGGAGTTGAAGTCCAAAACACCTGGAGGGCCAAAGTTTGCCCATGCCTGCTTTACAAGCATATAATAAATCATAGCTGTGAGTGCCCTAGGCATTGCCCCAAACCCAGTTCCTGATTTCTGTGACCCACTTTGCTGGCTAGTTGAGGTCCACCTGCAGTGAATGAGACATGTAAGTGAGTCTTTGCTTTTCATACTTCCAAAAAAAAAGTGTCCATAGAAAGTGTGAATCTAGACAACAGATCCATTCCTGTGTTGTTGAAAGTTTCTTGGCCGGAATCACTGAGTTTCTGTGAGTTTTCTGGGCTATCTGGCCATGTTCCAAAAGTATTCCCTCCTGAACTTCCACCCACATCTATGGCAGGCATCCTGAGAAGTTGTGAGGTCTTTCCAATGCAATTTTTCTGAATCATCACCCCAAATAAACAAACCTAATCTAAAGATGACCAAAAACTGATTTGTAACCCTTTTGGTACTAATGTTGGAGAGTAGTCCCTGGTCAAAGTGGTCCCTGGTCAAAGTGGTTCCTGGTCAAAGTGGTCCCTGGTCAAAGTAGTTCGTGGTCAAGTGGTCCCTGGTCAAAGTGGTCCCTAGTCAAAATGGTTCCTAGTCAAAGTGGTTCCTGGTCAAAGTGGTTCATGGTCAATTGATCCCTAGTCAAGTGGTCCCTAGTCAAAGTGGTTCATGGTCAATTGATCCCTGGTCAAGTGGTCCCTGGTCAAAAAAAGGTTGGGAACCACTGATCTAAAGTCATTTACATGTCATATTCAAACCTTTTAACACATTGATAGGCCCAAAGTTTTGTTGGCCAAAGGCCTCTGTGGTTCCCCCAATGCTTCTTAAAAAGGCCACAGAGGGGGAATTATGTATATCAGACTTGCTCATGGTTTCCAAAGCACAGGCTAAGAACCATAAAGGTAGAGTGTTTTCATAAGAATCATCTCTTGAATTCTGACAGTTGGTCAGTCAATCAGTCAAAGTGGATACTTTCCATATTCTGCACTCCGTTCGTATACTTTGGTTCCGCCCTTCGAAAGCAATGCACATATTTCTTTCCATGCTTATCTGGGAGTATAGAATTCAGGGGGGCTGTGTTTTCTACTACATGGGTAGGATGTATTTATTTATTTCATGTCAAAAGCTTTGTATAAATAAGTATAAATCTTATAAAATATATTTAATAATTTTTGACCAAAAACGGACAACAGCAACACAAATTGGTTGGAAGCTCACTCCGACCTGGGCTGGGTTCAAACTCATGACCTTTTGGTCAGTAGTGATCTTAATACAGCTGACTCCACAGTCCTGGAAGATGGGACTCCATGGCTCATGAGGCAGCTTCCAGCTCCATGATCAAGCTGTGATGACTTTTTTTAGCACTTTCCATGTTGCGAATCTTTCCTGATCTTTACTATTTGTGTTCCCTCTCTTTGTGCAAGTGCCTTTAGACACACCCAACGGTTAAGAAGTAGGAAATCTTGTGGCCTCGCCTCTTTTAATTGTGGTGTGATGGCAGCCCTGTCGGGTTCTTTTGCTCGCCCCTGTTCACATTAGCAGGTATGTCCTTAAAGCCCCAAGGCTACGAAAATCTCTCTCGACATCGAGAAATAATTACGGTGAGAGATGGCGCGGGGTCTTGTCATGCCACAAAGAACCTTAATATCAGCATGTCTAAGGACTAGGTACCGATAAGCATCTTGTCTCGATTGAATGAATTGAACACTTCTAATTCTCTCTCTTTCTCAACTCCTCCATCCCTTTTAGTTTTAACTGCGTCGAGAAAAAGGAACATAATTCCCCACCCAGGGTTCTGTTTGGAAAAAAAGTCATGGCGCCCCATTCTTTCCTCTCCCCCTCCTTCCTTCCTTTCTTCTTCTCCAAACGAGTCTATAATCTGTCACAGATTTAATTAGCTATCTTCAGATGAAAGCTGAAGTTTTAATAAAAGTTAGAAGAGATAACACAGCGAAGGACACGGATGAGCTGTCTCAAGGCCATATTCGCAGGGAACGATAAGAGCCATAAAAAATGGCAGTGGAGAGCAATTGAATGAAGCAATGAAAATCTGATTCTCGTAAAAGAGAGAGAGAGAGAGAGAGAGGGAAGGAAGGAAGGAAGGAAAGAAAGCCGGGCTGGTAGGGGCGGCTGTGGATGAGAACCTGCTAGCGTCGGCAAGCCATTTGGCCCCTCGCCAGGCGTCATCCTTCACCCTCGGCTGTTGGCGGCTCGGTCCAGATGTGCCAGCCGCACGTCCCCGGCTTTTGCCAGCTGACTGCGCCGTTTGATAACCGGCTCTCCGGATGCCCATCGCTGGCCGCAGAGATAGAATTAGACGGTGATGATCTTCCCACAAGTTGGGAGAGGAAACAATGCATATAAATCTTGATTTCATCTCAGCGTGAGAAGTCTTTATCCATCATCACTCATAATGAACAAGTCGTTAGCCGGGATGAATGGTGTTCGGCTTCTACTCCCCCCCCCCCCCCCCCCCACATACACCTTCACACCTCCCCACCCCCCATTTGTTCCCTTATTTTTTTTCCTGGATGACTTTTATCTCTTTCCTAAGGGTCATGTCCCTGTCCCTCCGTCTCTCTTTCTCTCCCTTTTCTCGTGCACAGCTCATTGGGACAGCTGGAGTGTTTGCGTAGCCAAACTGTGAGGTTGCCCTCTTGCCTTGCAGATTAGGAGTGGCATCGTTTTGCTGCTGCTTGTCTTCTGGTTCCGATGATTTTGGGCTCTTCTTTATGCCTTCATCAAGACGTTCCCGGCTTGGCGTTTCCGGATGTCAAGTTGGACCCTAGCCTGCAGCATCAAAATCCTGGTTCATTGACACTATTTATTTATTTGTCGTGTCAGGGCAACCAGTCAATTATATTACATTTATAACAGAACAAAGCAAACAAACAGACAAAATACAAAATTTGCAAGTTTGGTAGTTGATTAAATGTCCTTTGACCAGTATCTGGCCACTTGGAGTGCCTCTGGTGTTGCTGCAAGAAGGTCCTCCCTTGTGCATGTGGCAGGGCTCAGGTTGCATTGCAGCAGGTGGTCAGTGGTTGGCTCTTCTCCCCACTCACATGTCGTGGATTCCACTTTGTAGCCCCATTTCTGAAGGTTGGCTCTGCATCTCGTGGTGCTAGAGCACAGTTTGTTCAGCCCAGTCCTCTGTGTGCCCAGCGGGGAGTCTCTCATTTGGTATCAGCCATTGGTTGAGGTTCTGGGTTTGAGCCTGCCACTTTTGGACTCTCGCTTGCTGAGGTGTTCCAGCGAGTGTCTCTGTAGATCTTAGAAAACTATTTCTAGATTTAAGTCGTTGATGTGCTGGCTGATACCCAAACAGGGGATAGGCTGGAGATGTCTCTGCCTTGGTCCTTTCACTATTGGCTGCTACTTCCCGGTGGATGTCAGGTGGAGCAATACCAGCTAAGCAGTGTAATTTCTCCAGTGGTGTAGGGCGCAGACACCCCGTGATAATGTGGCATCTCTCATTGCGAGCCACATCCACTGTTTTAGTGTGGTGAGATGTGTTCATTGACACTGAGGGGCTAGGAAGAATATAATATGTTGTTGAAGGCTTTCGTGGCTGGAACCCCTACGTTTCTGTGAGTTTTCCGGGCTGTCTGGGCATGTTCCAGAAGCATTCTCTCCTGAAGTTTCATCCACATCTGTGACAGGCATCTTCAGAGGTTGTGAAGTCTGTTGGAAACTAGGGAAGTGGGGTCTATATAACAACAACAACAACAACATAATTCAGAGCAGAAGAGGAAACTAGCAAAAAGAAGGCTCTCCATGGACAGTTCCTGGGAAAAATTGAAAGCCAAATTGAAAAGGAAAAAGACATGGCTATGGCTCACAAATGGAACTCTAAAAAGGAGATGGGGGGCCTGATTTTGGCAGCCCAAGAACAAGCCATTAGAACAAATGCCATTAAAGCCAGACAACGATCCATACTTGGTTTTTTAACACAATCGTGAGGTCAGGAGTCTCGTGCTTCAAAACTCTGTCTGTCTGAATTCGGAAGGCCCAGAGGAGTTTGACATGTTCATTTTCAGGGTTTTGATCCCACCAGTTCTTTGTCGCAGGCAGATGGTATTTGTGGCACAAGTTCCATTGGATCATCTGAGCAATGGTGTTGTGCCTCTGCTTGTAGTCCACCAAGTCGACAACAGATCCCAAATGTAGACTCTGCAAGGAAGCAGATGAAACAATAGATCACATCCTCAGCTGCTGCAAGAAGATTGCGCAGACAGACTACAAGCAGAGGCACAACACCATTGCTCAGATGATTCTCTTTCGTTTCGCTTTTCGTTTCGTCCAAAAATGGCTCTTTCATTTCGTGCCTTCCGAATGGACTGTACGAAATGAATACCCGAATGTGCTCTAGTCTATTACCTACTTACTTACTCAGGTGATCCCTCGTTGTCTGACTAGGATAGTCTTCCAAGATGAGTGTACTGGTGGGTCTGTAGGTGACTGTGGAGCCCTATTCTTGATCTGCATCTTCTCCCGCAGTGAGGGCATTGGTTTCCAGGTGGAAGGCGGTCTCGGACGGGGTTAGCTTGATGCGCCTTCCTCTTGGCACGTTTCTCTCTTTTCCCCTCCATTCGTGCCTCTTCAAATTCTGCAGTACTGTTAGTCACAGCTGACCTCCAGCTGGAGTGCTCAAGGGCCAGAGCTTCCCAGTTCTCAGTGTCTATGCCAGAGTTTTTAAGGTTGGCTTTGAGCCCATCTTTCAGTCTCTTTTTCTGCCCACCAATA